GATATGTTCAGATTTTAAATAATTTTTGTCAAGAGTTGTATCGAAATTGAAAACAGAGGATGTTATAAAAACGATCCGCGGGCTCAAGACCATCTATCTGCAAGCCTAGACTGCTTTCTCCTCAGGACGAAGAAAACGATGAAGTTAATGGCTCTTTGAAAGCGACTCTAGTGAATGTACTGAATTCAAGTTACCTGAATAACGAATAAATCTTTACAGGGTAACCATGTAGGGTACTGATCAACAGTTTTTAACCCAGAAAATTTTCTATTTTTGGCGAGCGGCACTTTAGGAAAAATTCTGAGACTAGTATTATTACCCATGGAAATGTTTTTGCGATATTTTGTTTCAAAATTTTTCCTAAACTTTCGGAAGTGCCTCTCGCCAAAAATAGAAAATCTTCGGGGTTATCGAGTATATTGAATACGAAAAGTACTTTCAGCAACTGAAACCATCTTCATTTTTTTTCCAGTGATACGCTTTTCAAGATTTCTACCACTCATTTTCTTATTTGAGACAGTTTTATTACTAGTTTCCCTTCTACTGTCATAGATATGATCCCGATGCTGGTAGCCTTTCATCACCGGCATCAACACATGTTCAATATGTCCAATCAGCTGCGTATACAGTTCAATTTCAATGTGAGATTGATAAACAACGAGATCAAATAGCCAATATCACTTGCTTATCGCATCCAATATCAATAGATTACGCAGGTGACTCAATCAAGGTGTCATTTAGTCAACAGAATGTACATCTAGATCGAGATATTATCTTGGATTTGATATTAACAGAGAATCCAACATCATGCATGGCCTTAGCAATTGAAAGTCACGCTTTGATGACGTCATTTATTCCAAATAAAACCGATTTTGGCACGCAACAGGACGTTAATAATGAATTTATATTTATTGTTGATTGTAGTGGATCAATGATGGATGAAAATAAAATGGGCCTAGGTATTTTGTAACATTTACTACTTAGCCATTATGGAACAAAAATTTCTATCGTTTTTAGCTCGTGAGGCGATGGAATTATTCTTAAAATCATTACCAATGAAATGTCGTTTTAATCTCGTTCGATTTGGTACTACCTATCACGCATTATTTAACGACGTGACTGTTGTATATGACGAGCTAAATGCATCTAAAGCTCAACAACTCATTTCTAAAATGAGAGCTGATTTAGGTGGTACGGAACTACTAGCCCCATTAAAATGGATATTTGAACAAAAACCATTTGAAAATTATTCACGACAAATATTTGTACTAACCGATGGAGAAATCAGTAATGTCGATCAAGTAATGGATCTATGTAAACAAATGGCAAACACAACACGAATATTTTCATTTGGGTTAGGTATGTATTGGAGAAGCATAGTATTAGGCCTGTTACATCATCAGTTCCACTCATCTGAGTGGGAATTGTTCCAGCATTCATACTTCAAAACTTTGTCCTGTGAATGAAATATAGAGAATCCGTCAGGAAAGCGATGAAAATGGCAATGACACAGGTAGAGAAAATAGTAATAACGATTTATCTCATAAACGAAGCATTTTTAGATAAAATGACGGGTAATAGCGGTTTTTTAACTAATGTAGAATTTGGTTCTCTACTTTTTATGTCACAGAACCATGCCCGAAAAACGCTTTCAGACTAGGCCCGTTACATCAACAGTATAAACCACTGACATTCGATAAAAAATGAGTGGGTGAACCACTCACATTCAAAGCACGTATAGTACGATATCTAGTGTATATGTAGATATTCCTAATATTTAATTTTATTTTGCTGCGGTTTTAAAAGAAAAATACTAACTAAAAAGATATTGTTAAAAAAAGATATCAATAAAACAATTCCCGCCGGACCAAAGAAAAAAGTATTCATTGTTCTATACTAATCGCTTGGCTCATCTACATGTGACTGTATTAATAAACTCAATTTTGCAAATATGGACAGGTTTTGCAGGAATTTTTTTATATAACGTCTATTTTGTGCTAATGATTTGTTAGCCTGGTTTTTGTTCTAGCCGTTATAATTTGATAGAAACGAATTCTCTTTTTATCTCGTCGATATTTTCTAGTACAAGCTGATGCTCTATCTGATAATGAGGTTATTTTGATTTTTCCGCACGGATTAGTGTTCCGAGTTAGGAAAAAATCGCGGACGTTTCGGCTGTTTTCGATCTATAATAAGCCCGAATGTATTCAAGTGCCGTCCAGCGCAAGGAACTGGGCGAATGGTATC